GAAAGGTGTTGCCCACTATCCATCATTCCCCTTCACAGAGGTGCACCACGAGCCTTTCTGCAGCCTGAGGGGGGAGAGCAGAAGGTGGTTCTGGAGGCCTCTTATCCTCAAGAAACAGAAGTGGAACAACAGTGCACTTTTGTGAGCAGGATAGACTGCTTTGGAGCCCAAATAAGCTGTTCCAGTAAACTCAAAGTACTCTTATAAAAGAGTGAATAAACATCAATGGAAATACTGTTTTCCCTCACCAGGGTATAAACAGAAAGCTGGCACTACGAAAGCAAGCATGGTGGCAGGAAGAAGACTGCCAGCCCTGAATACAAGGCACAGGCAAAGTTCTTAGCCCGGGAAGACTTCTTCATTTTCCTTTACAACAACATTCTCCCCTCAGGACACAGCATACTGATTCTTGTTATGTGGCCAGATTTAAGTGCCATCAATCCTGCAAGATCTTTCATAGACAAAAGAGCACATATATTTATATATTTAGCTCTTACACTCAAACCTTCATCACTGAACACTTATTTTCTATGTGTACAATATAAATATGCAAGTACACATACGAGCATGCTCTGGGATGTGTTCACATGCACATGAATGTCACCACCTGCATGTACAGTCCTTAGATCACCTGGAAGAACCCAAGCAGAATCAGCCTGGCTCTGCAGAGCCCCACAGGGTTTCTGGGAACTGCAGAGGCAGAAAGCTTGCAGAATTTCATAGACTAATCTGCAGAAGTTTAAAGTAGCCTGAAGAATTTAATGGAATTTTAGACGCCTGCAACTGAAATGTAATATTTCTAACAACAATTGACCAAGATGTATGGCATCGCCTTAGTAGTCATGAAACATGTCAGTGTTACACCCTATGAGCATACATAAATCAAGGTTCAATGTCTATATCGTTTTCTTCTCAGATGAGGAAAGGTTTACAGTCTTTGTAAGATTAAGCTATTCTAAAATAAAAATGAATAGTGCTTATAAATAGTAGTGATGTTTCATACAGAAAATAAACAAAATTTGGCATAATAGGCTGAATGACTCAGAACAAACAAGAAAACCATAAGGAATGTTCCTTCTTTATTAATATCCTCTCCCTCCCTGGTGCTACTCAGACGTTTTTGTTCATTTGCCTTTCCCACATCTGTGCTTTCAGATACAAAGAGCCTCGCAACATACTACAGCTTGAATGTTTGCAGCCATCAAAGTGAAAATTTCTATTAATAGGAATTCAGTTATTTAGTAAAGTTTCTTGCACCACTTTTCTAACTTCTCCAAAGGGCATGTTACTTTCCACAAACCTTCATTGACTCAAAAAAACACAAATAGGTGGGTGGCTTGCTGTGACTCCAAAGTAAAGGACTTCAGAGGAATGAGCATGAAAAGCTGAGCCTGTGACAAGCATCTGTGGAACAGTAGGAAGTTACGGCAAGCTTTTGAATAGTAGCACTGTCTAAAGCTCCCCATGGGAATACTATTAATTAATTAACAGCACATTCAAATTAATTGCCCTTTTTTTTTCCTTTTGTTGTTGTTGTTGTTGTTTTTTTCTACCCCAGTTGTCCACCAGGTACCTTGTAATGTAGAACTGTGGTTCACAGAGGTCAGCCTGTAACACAGTGGGTTTGATTTGGTGGTCAGGGTTTCTGGTTTTGCATCTTTTTCTTAGCTGTGTTTCAAAGTCCTAAGCTACTAATTTATCAAGCAGAAACAGAAAAGCAGCTGCAGTGCTCTGACCCAAACACACCCAAATCCTCAGGAAAGTCAGCTATCTCTTCATAAGTCATAAACAGGGAGATAACAACATCACACACATACTTTGAATTTTAATTGTCGCTATTAAAGTTTAGGAACAATCCCTGTGAGCAAAGAGTTTTGCTGGCATTACTGAGCCAGACTCAAGCTTGCTTTTAGTTAACTATAATGCAATATTCATGCCTCAAACCTGATTTTAGTGAGTTCCTTTCCCTTCTAGAGCATGTACATCACCAGAAGATCCAAGTTCCTTGTTTGGTATCCCCATCCTTACTAACTCTTGACAACAGGAAAATTATAACTGGGAATAAAGTAATCCCTCCCTTGCTACTGCCAATGTAAGAAAGCACTGTTCTATCAGCTTGTAAGTGATCATCTTTTCTTCTGTACAGTCATAATGTTCCTTCCTGAAAGAAGGCTGAAAATATGTGGAGATTAACTGCCCCCCCAAGATGTTTTGGTGTCTAAACAGGTCATTTATGCAGAAAGAATTTTAATTGAAATATCCTGCTCTTTGGTGTTGATGACCATAGATTTTTGGTATCATAGCTACACAACACGGATTGTTACTTCTGACACTTTATTTCTACAGTTTCTATGCAGGATTCTGACTACAAAGGATAGGCTGTAAATTTGGCATTGAGGAGAAAGATGAATAAAGAATTACAAAAAGACCAGCTCTTATTTCAGCCTTTACAAACATGCAGCTCTTTCCCAAGTTTTAGTATAGGGAAATAATCTGGCTAGTGCCTTATGCCTAGAATTAAGAAACAGTTTTAAGTGACTGCTATATTTAGTCAGCGATAGCTGGTTTTGTGACATTTCCAAAGGACCTACACATGCGTCAGCACTACAGGGTAATGCCATTGCCTTAAATGGATTAACTTGGCATTTACATGACTAAGAGCTAAAATACAGGATGCTTGAACACAGGAAGGCACAAAATGAAAGCTTCCTCCAAGAAAATCAAAATATCTCCCTCTCTCCTCTCATCTAAACCAAATAATTGAGAATAACCAACCTGATGATGAAAATGCCAACAAAGGATCTTTACCCGTCATCAGAGCGCTAACTTCGCTCTTAGTCAGGTCATGCAATACAAGCATTAGCAGCACACATCCTGATTTCGCTCCGTGAGATTTCCCTTCTCCCAATCCTTTCTTTTGAAAGCGGGAAGAGCTGCAGACCCTCCTAGGTCTGATACCCCCATTAGACCAACAATGTTGCAAAATACAGTCTTAGTCTTGCAAGACCTTAACACCTGACCTGCAACACCAGATTGCATCAGGAACTGTGCCCCATCACATGCCCTATCAGTTTGCACTGAAGCCCTGCTCTGACCACCACAAGCCCATTCACAGTCAGTGGCCAGTGCAGACCTTTGGCTTTCACACAAGCAGCTCTTGAACAGGAAGCACATGGGTGTTACCAGTTTATAGGGCAGGTGGAAGCAATGCTGTTGCTGCAATAAGTGAAAACACAGCAGTAACCAGCATCCTGGCTCCTGGTGGGAAAGTGTTTTATTAATCAAAAAATACTTTCCTCCCTGTGGTGTCTTGCAGACCTTTAAACTTGCATCTGCAAAAATCAGAGAAATTCTTCAGTCATTCTCACAACAAAGTTAAAATACAGAAACCATTTTCAATACTTGAGGATTTTTCTTTTCCTAACAAGAGAGAGAACTTCAACCTGATTAGAAATACTCTCAACTCAGCACTGAGGGGTATGGGCAAAGCAGAATTTTTCAGCTCCTTAAGGCAAGGACGCATTGCCAGTCTAATATAGAGGGAAGAATAGGGGGAGCTGGAGCACCTGATCTTGCTTGGCCAAAAGGTCATATGCCACCAGCTTTTTCTCATTCTATTCTAGACTATAGAAAGGGAGAGAGGGGTGAAGACCAGAAGTTTGGGGCATCTCATAATCCTAATTATCCCAAAACATGTTGTCATGGAAAGTGAAATACTGACAGAACAGTGACTGGTAGGAGGTTGGGAGTATGATGTGGAGTCAATGAAGTGAAAGTCTTTGAGTGTGTGGAACCAGAACCAAAAGGTATAGAGCATTCTTTCCCTTCACAGCATTCACCAAGAATTTCTAGTTCTACTATTTACATAATTCATTTCAACTCAGAAGAAAATATTTTCATTGGTGATGTGTTCTTACTATGAATCATGAGACTATATATAACAGCACACTGCATTGCAGCGGATAACACATTAATCCTTCTTAAGGGACTGTAGAATGGCATTCCTTGCCAGTGGGTCTAGAAAACAAAGCCCTGACCTTCTCCTAGACACTATTTAAAGACAAGGACAGTATATCAGAATTAGAAAGGCCATTGCAAGGTAAGAAGGTTTAGAAATCAATTATGCACAGAAGAGGTTGGGGTGTGTGGTTACAGGCGAGATCTGAAGGAAAACAGAAGTGTTTCTGGCAGGCAGAAGCTGAAGGCTCTGTAATAGCAGCATCATCTTATATAAGACACAAAAGGCATGCTCCAAAAGGCAAGAGGAAAGATAAGAAACTTGGAGAGCCTGAGAGAGTGAAATGTTATGTGGGAAACAAATGAGAGATGAAGGTTTAGTATCTGGACAAGAAATCTAATGTTGATACAGTAAAAGATACAAAACTAGTGAAAGGTTCCAAGGTGGGAAGTAATATGATCCGGGATTTTGTTTGTAATCTAGTAAATCTTCCTTAGCTGTGATACCTAGCCTTTTTTTTATAGGATAGTGTAGGTGTGTATTTGGGGCACCTTATGTGCTTTGCTTATGGCATTATCATGAATCCACTTCTTCCTGTATAGAGAGTTTCTGAGGCAATTACAACAGCTCCCAACTTTGACCAGCAATTTCAAAGCAACAATTTCTCCTTCCGAAAACAAATGACAGCCTGAGACTAAGGAGAGGAACTGTTTAGTGATTTATAAAGGCAGACCACTTATCACCAATGAAATCTTTATACCATGACACACATTATATAAGTATTAGACTATAAAAAAAATCCACAGGAATAGAATGTAATAAGTATTGGTATAATTCAACAATAGCACTTCATGTCTTCAGAGAAAGACAGTTTTAAAACAAGATACATTTTTAACAAGGCACAGGGCTTAAAATACCTGAGAAGTAAAACAGTGGTGAATCAAAACAGAAAGCTTCATGTCATCAAAATGTTCATGTCATCAAAATGTTCATGTCATATCTGCTAGCTCCACAAAAAAAAAAGGGGGGGGGGAAGGAAGAAAGTATGGGACAAAAATTCACCAAAAGACCCCAAGCTTTTGAGTACCTCTTTGTGTTAATGACTCCATGAATTCAAATGTGCTCTTATTTTAATGTTGGATAATTATTGTTACGGTAATCAAAACATCATTTAGTCAACCCAGCATGGTGTGTTGAAAATAACGTAAAATAATATTGCAAGCAGATAATTTACCATGACGAAAACTTGCTCTCATTCACAGAAATGAACATTTCTCCACGGCATGTTTGGATGTAACACTGCAACCAAATGGAAAAAGTTCAGTTCGTAAGAAAAGTCTACAGAAAGAGAAACATAAGCCAAAACATACATAATAAGTTCTCTAGAATCTGTTATTTAATATCATTTTGTCTGTTTATCAGATTTCACAACTCACCATTCAGAATATGTACAAACTTGTATCAACACGTGTACTCCCACCAGAAATAATAAAAGGTTTTCCAAGAGCTGGTTGCAAGCCATGCCTGGACCCCCATCTGAGTAATCACCTTCATTATTGGCCAGTTCCTTATCACATTCCTAAAAGTTTGTCACCTTGTAAGCATTTTTACTATGACAATCAAGTACTTAGAGCATAGTCACATACAGATACAAGTCAAGCACTCCTTACACATCTTACCAGATGGCAGACTGGCCAGCACAGAGGACATGTAAGTCTTTCTGCTAGATAAGTGAAAACATCCACTTAAACTGTTGAAAAGTTTTGATAGAGAAACGCTTTATGCTTGCCTTGTTTCCCAAGCCACTGTGAGTGAGGAAATAGCAGGGACGCAAACCACGAGTGCAGCTCATTACTGCTGTTACAAGTTTGGGTATTCAAATAAATGCCTGTTCTGGTATGAAAAGAAAGTTACTCTCTGTGTATTAATTGCTCCTCTTATAACATTCATATGAATTCCAATATTCCCAAACCCTGACTGGTTCGTACCAGAAAAGAAAGAAAAAAAAGAGAAGGTCTTTCACAGACACATTAGCCCTTACTGTGAAATCGATCCACTCACCACTGATACACGAAAATATCAGAAAAAGCTACATAGAAAGAATCTGGAAAATAAAATATGTAGCAAAGACTGGGAAATGCCAGACAGCTTCTTTAACAGGTCAGAGGAAGACCTGGTAGTTCAAATAACCAGTTTTGGCTAAGCTCAAGGAAGTAAAAATGCCTGATATGAGTCCTTTGTTTAAATTTAACTAAAATAACTCACCCCCTCAAACTTGTCTGGGTCACTGCAGAGGGCATATCCTTTGGGGGTGTTTGAGTCTGACAATGTTAATTCAAATAGATGAGAGCACCTGCATTTGGGAAACATGCATCATTACAAGAAAATCAAGAGGAAAATCTACTGTACAGGTGTTTTATATGCATTTTAAAAGATAAAAATTCTCTATCATATAATACAAAGCATACCCCACACTTAGCAGGATTAGGATTTGTGTGTGTCAGAGTGTATGGTCCTGTGCCTAAGCCAGCTAAACATTAAAAGCCTGTGACTAAACAGAGAAAAAGAAAGATAAACCTGTAAACTCTATTTTCTTACTGTGAAACACTCATGTTAAATCATCTGCTTGGGCCAAATAATGCTTGCACAAGTTGACAGATAATGAATTAAGTGCCACAAATGGAAGGCGCCAACCTTTGCAGCCAGTTGTGGAAAACAGTGGAAATGAATGAGAGGGGGATTTGTTGCCTCCCACATCAACCACACAGAAGCTCGTCTGTTTTGAGGGTTCATGACATATTTGAGTGCAGGGTGTTCTGTCCACAGCATTGATCACCTGCTGAGAGCTCATATCGAATTAGGTTACAGTATAATTGGATTTTCTGAAGGCACCACATTAGCATTTTCCATGATCTCACCCTTATTAGCCAAATCACTAATCAGGAATAGCACACTTACATTGTCTGCTGGTTAAACTATCTGCTGCTATAGCGTCTGCAAGCCAGCTCTGAATTCATGCAGAGATAAAAACTCCTCTCTAAAAGAGACTTGGGAGTCTATTCTGCAGCTGATGTTGCAGTCAGACTATAATTTTCAATAGTTCATGAAAAAACAAACTCTTTCCAGGGGCCGCTTCACTCACTGCTTTGCTTGTGTTCTTTCTTAGTCTATATTATAAAGTGAGGAGTGTCATTTCTTTGATCTGTGTAGGCAAAAGCAGCACCGCTGTAAAATATAACAGAAAAACCCTTTCTCATGGACTGTTCCCCATCGTGTCCAAAATCAAATGCTGAATGTATTTAATCCTGTAAGGTTTTTATTTTCATTTGTAGGCCTTTGTATATTGATGGGAATGGAAATACCTGTTCTAAAAGCAAAAATGATGCAGACAGTCTCATAACTGATGACTCCATCTTTGCACAGCTCCAATAGAAGTTTTTGTGGGAACTTCAATTCATATTAACCACTTCTGAGTGATAAGGAAAGTACACAGAACATCTCATGTAGCCTTATGGTGCAAAAATCTCAGTTCCTTCTTTCAGAGGGGATTCCAGCAGGTTCAGGTACCTGTCTCATAACAGTTACCCTCATATAAGTCTGAAGGGAAGAGACAATCTTGCAAGTAGATTATAAAGTAATGTTTGCTGACCACTCACTCACCACAATTTTCTGGAAAAGTTCCATTGCCTAAATACAATTTAATTTTAAAAGCCAGGTTTTATTCTCAAGTTAGAGGTTACACAGCAATGTTCAGATTCATTACAAGAATCATTTAGAAATACAAAGCCACTTTCGCTGAGAGGATAAACCCATTAAATATTTCTACTAAAATTCTTCTGATATAAATAAGTAAACACACACACAAAAAAAACCTGAACACATTTTTCATGTCATTGTGGATCCAAAACAAAAGGAGAGCTGGGCTTGACTGGAAAAGGGGAGCAGGCACTTTCAACCTGGCCTGCCATTGGTGCTACCTTGCTGATAATCACAAAAACATATTAAAACAGTGAGGTAGATTTCCTTTTTACTAAACAACTAAGAAAAAGGACACAGAATTCAAGATGGTATGTCAACAAATCATTCCCTGGAATCCAATAAAAAAAGACTAATTCACAAACAAAAAAGTATCACAACACTATTATTTGGCTTACAAGCTCTTGAATTCAAACCATATTTGACAGTCTCTGAATCCCCAGCAACAGCCGCATATTTTCTCATGAGGGTTTTTAACAGATTCTCATAGACAGCACAAACAGCATCTTCAGAACAAAGGGCAATAACACTTGCCAGCAGAGTATTACTGGATCCTGAATATCACAAGCCTTTATGATCTGCTTTTCTATTGTCCTTGCAGGGATTTCACCTGTCATAAATAACATGCACTGAAGGGATAAGGAGCTAGGGAAAAAAAAAACCAGAACAAAACAGAATAATTAAGCTGCAAGATTAGCTCGCAGCCTTTGGTCTACACTTCTCCAGGTCATAGGCTGTCACTGATGGCCTCCCTTCTCCAAGGATGAATCTGCAAAAGTAAATCAATGCAAATTATTTTGACATGGAGAAACACAACTCCCTTATGATTCATTTCCCTCTATTCCTCATGCATACACTTCCCTCCCCCTTCCCCAAAGCCAATACTGTACATCATTACAAGTCTGTAATCAATCCAATACAAATGGCAGTGTGAAGAAGCAGAAGAGTAGGGATATCACACAATGCCTATCAACTTCCAGCTAGTCCTGACTGTTGATAAAGATCAAACAGCAGGGTCTAATAACCTGAAGTCCCCATGTAAAATCTTTCTAGACCTCTAAGGAGAGTAGCTGACCTTCAGCAGTGCTTATAGGTATACATTAGCACTACGTGTGCACAAGAGAGTAGGTAAGTACAACAGAGGGAACAATTAGGTGGCCGTATCTATAGCTAAGTAGGTGTCTGTGGTTCAAAGATGTGTTTGATAGTAACTTGAGCTAGAAGGAATATTCTATTGCTAGTGTAACACATACTTCCTGAAGTTTTGAAAGATTCTAAAAATTCTGTAACATCCCTAGTAGCACACATGCAAGTGCACACAGTATTTCACTTACAAGAGAAACATGAAGAGTGAAATATTTCCAGCAGGGTTTTGAATTAGCCAAGGAGATTTGCTCTGCAGCTGCTACAAAGTAACCCCATCATTCACTTCCAAACCCACAGTGCTGATGATATCCAAATGTACATGAAAGAAAACTTGATCCAAAAGGTCCACATTTGTATTGTGAATCATTGATTTTGATGACACTTCTTCCTTGCTGGTATTAACAGCATTGGTGTTATTTGTTCAAAAAGCCAAGTAGAGCAACAATTAGCAGACTAGTTCTTTGTGTAAAGTAGATAAATACAGATACTTTTGTGTTCATTCTACTGCATGCTATTTGCCTGTGTAACAACAAAGATGGTGGAACAAAACTTCTCTTGCAAGAAACGTGATTCCAAGCTTCACATCTAATGTTGGTATTCATATAAAAATACAATTTGGAAAAGAGAGGACTTTGATATGCAAACACCTCAGGCAGCTACACAGTGTGGGTTTTGTTCAATTGTTTTTGTTCCTCCCAAGTCCCAGTGGGACACACCGAGGTCTCCCTGCTTATGCCAAGATGCTTTTGGCTCCTAAAGTTCTTGCCCAGCTGGTACAAATTTGTAGATACTGCAGCACTACAGGCACCATCTGCCAGAGAAGAAAAGCAAACATCATAGAACACACAGCTCCCAAAACCAAAGAGTTTCTCTCGCCTAGGACAGCGTTAACCATTCAGAAAACTTGGATATTTGCACCATAATCAGGCTTCAGAGCCCAGCACAGAGTACTTTTACACTTAAAACACAAAAAACATGCAAAGGAAGGTGGAAATGGCATGGCATGAATTTTTGCATCCCTTCCTTAAATGATCAATGAGGAGCTAAGGATATTGCCAGCTAGCAGACGGATGTTTCATCAAGTCACCAGGAAAGAGAATGATTTAATGAAAACAGCTACCACATCACCTACCACCAGAAGACCACCACTGACAACCCGTTTCAAGCAAGTTCTCTTAAATGCCGATTCTTCCTATGTTTCATGCCCAAAGGAAAAAAAATGCCAGTGTGCATGAAGCTGTTTAAAATCTAACAGGTACTGAATGATAAAACCTGAAATGTTGCTTCATAGAAATAAATTTATCAAATCATATGTCTGTTTAAATTATTTTTAATATTCCTTTTCACAAGAGACTTTTCTGCCTAGTACTCTGAAAAATGACAACATACTCTGTGATCTTTAGCTCAGGTTGACTTCTAAAAGCAATACCTTTGTAAAAAAGGCAACTTCTCATTTCTGGAGTCAAAAATTAAAGGTGTGCTAATGTCCCTTTTGTTACACGGCAGTAAGAGAAATTAAGTTGTATCAGTAAAAAACTTGAAACTCATCACATTTTCATTCCCAGTGGGGATGGCAAGCTGCTAATTAAGTCTGGCTTGACAAGTTGGGAGCACTGATAATTTCTAATGTAATATATGCACTGAGGACAGGTTAATATCAAAAATGTTTAAAGCCTGGGAGTTTGTCCAGGAAAATTAAGATGTCAGGTGTTTGTTTTTTTTTCTGTCTGGTTTGCATTGAGGACCTCCACAAACATTTTTCAGTTTTTCATTTCCTCCCCACCCCCCCCACCCCGGGCTCCCTACAGATGTCATTATTTTCAGTGGAAAACCCCACACTTCTCCCTCCTCTTCTTCCAATTACCTCTAATTGTAACAACATTAACAGCAAAGTAGGTACCTTGAGGGCAAAAATCTGGAAAGCAGCAGAGTGTGGAAAAAAACAAGAGATGCTATTATAATGAAAGCAAGTGGACACATTCTGCTGTTTCATGTGCTCATCTGGGCATCCTTAGGGCTTTGCAGGTTTTCCCTAGGCATACCAAGAAGGGTGGTGACCAGCTGCTCTTGTCTCCCCCACAGCCCTCCAGAGCTACCCCTTGAACTGAGAGGTAGGAGAAAGGCCGCATTTCAGCTTCTCCTTCTGCCTCTTAAGCATATGCCTTTAAAGCATATGCCAGCCTGGCATAACTGGATCCAAAATAAAACCATAGAGTTTAGGACAAGAAAATATGGTATTTCTGACAGAGTACCTGGGGTTCTCAAATACATATACCAAGAATCTCTCTGCCAAGAAAACAAATACACTAAAATTCATTTTGGAAATGAAAAAGGCAACACATGCCAGCAGTTGTGGTATGCAAAATGCTTCTTGCTCCTAGTAGGCTTTGAGCAATAAGCCTTTTTTTGCAGAGAATTTTTTATTAAAAATCTGGGTTCAGGGAAAATCTCCAAAATTAATCTTCTTTTCAACTGTCTTTTCAATTGTGCACAGTTGGATAAGGAAGGAAGTCAACACTGCTTGTCAAATAAAGTGACATTAAGCACATTTGCTGGAAATCTATCTGCCTTGCTTCTTAAAAAGAAAACAAGAAACAGAAAAAACACAAACCAAAACAAACAACAAAATCACCAAACCCCCCCAACCAAGAACAAAAAGATCAGAAACCGGTTCCAGGAATGTTGAGTGACAGAGCATGAAGAGACTTAGGAGCTAATGTCCCTCTGAAGGCAGTGTTGCTGGTCAAACAAGGCTAAGCTAGAGGAATTTAAACAGAGTTTAGGACTAGGCTTTTTGCACAGCAAAGTACCTGGGGAGGGACCACCCTAGAGGCTGGCAGGAAGAAGTATCTTGCTACAGTAATACAGCCTCTCATCTTATCATCTTCTTCCTTAACCTCTACCTGTCTCCTATAGCTTACCTTTCCACTTTGCCTCTCTCTATTGTGATCTTCAAGGAAACACCTTTTCTGCTTTTGGAAGCCTCCTGATTTCCTCTAGTCATGCTTTGCAGACGGGCAGTTGCCCTTTGAAGACTACCTGAGTGGTCTTTCCCTGGCAGCCTGTTCTCCATTGCAGCCCACCTATGGAACATGGCTGGACACAAAATGTTCCTACCCATCTCTTCACCCTGCTGCTTTCAGCTGGAGAGTTTCATGCTTGGGAAAATGTGAAGAAATACTTATGACAGACAAGTTGAATTCTAGTATGATTTATCTGAGGTTTTAAGCAGTTTAATAAGAGGTGTAACATGAAACTTTGTGGAAACAAATGGGAAGAAAATGCTAGCAAAGTCAGACCAATAAACCTGAACATGGCCCACACCCTCCTGTTTGCAAACCGCCTGCTCAATATTTTTGGATTCAGTTCAGCAACCAGTGGTGGTGTGGAAAACTGAGCTCTTAATGAGACTGCAGCATGAAAAGCAGGACAGGAACTGGGTTAAACCTTTATCTTCCCGTGGCCATGCAGACATACAGATGACAGGCAACTATATGCTGCCTAGCGTGAAAGCCACCCCAAACTATGGGCATGCCTCTAATCACTTCTGCACTGTGAATATACAAGGGTAGGGAATACACCAACTCACTAAACACGTTTTCAAGGACAGATTTTTTTTCTCCCCCATCCAAAATACAATCGGAGAATTGTATTTTACATGGTAAGTAATTCTTCACTGTCCCATGCAACCCCTGGCAGGTCAAAGTGGTCTCCATTCTTACTGATAGAGTGCACTGCAGGCTGAGGTTTTTAACCTATGAAGACTACTGAAACCATTTCTAGGGTCCCAAAGCCAGAGGGGCTTAAACGGTTCTTTGTTAACTTTTAAGTAAACTCTCTAAAGCCAGAGACATGCTTTTAAAAACAAGTTGAGCGGCTTGGGCTCGGGGGGGAATCATCAACTGTGGAACATCTCTTTGCCTTTTGGATTTTGGAAGGAAAGGCTAAATGGATAAAAGAAGAGAGGTTTTTTGAAGTGCCTTTTTTTCTTCATTTTGCCCCCCTATTCCTCTCATCCTTCTTGTATTCTGATGAAGCTACTTCCAGGCTAATTAGAGAGGGCTCAAATCAAAAAGTGCCAGATGCAAACCACCACACTTTGCTCCTCAGACTTGAGCATAAGTGATCATCTTCCAACTACCAAAACACAGAACTGTGGAAAAACAGTAGACTGGAGTAGAAACTTTAGAAATTAAGATAGATCAAATTTCTGTAGCAGTTAAAAAAAATAAATCAGTGATTATTCTATTTTTGTAGATACAGGCAAAGAGATGTTTCTTACAGAAAATAGACAAACCAGGCTTCACAGAGACAGCAGTCCTTTAAGACGGCCTTTTTCAGATCACAGGTGCAGCTAAAAAAAGTGGTGTCACTCATAAGACATCATACAGATAGAGTTCCACAAGCAGTAGAAAGCATGAGATTACAGAAGGACCTGGTTACAGAAGGACCTGAAGAACTTAAATCAAATGATACTTCAGCACCTGGGTGCAAATAACTTCCTAACAAAGGAGGGCAGAGAAGGAAGAAAACACAATCTAGATATATCTACACAAAAATACAGAAAAAAAAAAATAGTAATTCCTCCTTGGAGTCAATATGCCTTTGCAGTCCCAGTGACGTTATAACAGACTAGTTAGAGTTGACACAGAGGCTCTTACAGATTTCAGATATCTTTAGAATAAGCTTTTTTTGATGGTATATTGTAAAAAAGATCAGTTTCCTGATTCATTTCACTTGTGCTCAGCCCTGAAGTTACCATCTGTATTTTGTAATTATTCTTCAAGAAAAAATAACCAGTGTCAAAGGAAAATTTGTTAAGGAAAATGCAAGGGGTTTCCCTAGGAACATCAATCTACTGAAACAGCATTCCTACAGGAAACTGCCTCATGCTTAAAAGTTGCTGCACTGCTGTTTTGTTTTTCTATAATGAAGGCCTATCTCAGAAGCGATAAGATTTATTGGCCAGCTTATCACCTAAAGAGGAAATGAAACATGAAAAATGAAACTCTGGAACACTGCTGCACATAGTAGCTCATTTAAACCCACCAATGTAATTAGTACTTGTACAAAACAGAACAAAGAAATTGGAACATCAAGAATACTTTCATCGTGTATTCTGGAGTTTCTATCTTTGAAACCTTTCTCACAATACTTCAATGTGGATTTAATATATGTGACTATATAAAATATATAAACCCAGGCTCGTGCCTTTTAACTGATGGTAGAACTTGGAATTCTTTATGACCAATGGTTAATAAAATAATCTTTGTTTTATCAGCAAAGAGACTTGAAGGTGTTAAAACAGACAACCTACACAGTGCTGTGATGGGACTCATTGAGAATTCTTTTTTATGGGGACTGAAGAAAAAAGGAAAGGAAAGCCTCCAAGTGTCCTACCCACTGTCCCATTGAGAGGAGGTGTTCAGGTGTTCTAGACAAGGAACAGCAATATAAATAGCAGAATTTGAAGGAAAAAAAAAAAGAATTCATATAATAAAGCAGGGTAAAAGAGCTCTCTTCAGATCCCCTAAGTGTGTATTGCCCTGGACCACAGCTGCAGCTGGTGGCCGGACTTGTTTCATTCAGTGTTGTAAACATCCTCCCTGTATTCTCAGGTGCAATAAATCACTTTAAGCGTGAGCAACTATAAAATTAATCTCCTCTCCTTTCTCACAGTCACAGCACTACTTTCCCTACAACCACATCAGAATCCTCCAGTCACCATGTAATTATGGGAAGCTCATTCCCCATTTCAGCAAGTTATGTTTCCACCCTACCCTCTCTTCAGTGCAAATGTGGACAGCAATAAATAATGTAATAGTTCTTCTGTAGCCATCATCTTCTTCCAGATGTTGCAAAAAAAGCTTTTGGTAGAGCACTTTCAAGCATTACTTCATTCACAGCTTTACTTTCAGAGATGCCAACTGACACTAGGTCTGTGAGAACTGTTAATATTATATAAGACACCCAAGTTCCCAGACCTTACACTTGAATGCTAAGAAACTAGGCAACCTAACAAGAAGCTCTCAGTATTAGAATTTCCAGAATCATTACTATCAATGAGAAAATGAACATGAGCCAGCAGTGTGCGCTCGCAGCCAAGAAAGCCAACTGTATCCTGGGCTGCATCAAAAGGAGCATGACCAGCAGGTTGAAGGAGGAATTTCTGCCCCTCTCCTCTGCTCTCATGACACCTCACTTGGAGTATTGTGTGCAGTTCTGGTGCCCTCAACATAAAAAGGACATGGAACTGTTGGAATAAGCCCAGAGGAGGCCACGAGGATGATCAGGGGACTGAAGCACTTCCCGTATGAAGACAGACTGAGAAAGTTGGGGCTGTTCATCCTGGAGAAGGGAAGGCTGTGTGGAGACCTCATAGCAGCCTTCCAGTATCTGAAGGGGGCCTATAAGGATGCTGGGGTGGGACTCTTCATTAGGGACTGTAGTGATAGGACAAGGGGTAACGGGTTAAAACTTAAACAGGGGAAGATTAACTTGAATATAAGGAAGAAGTTCTTTACTGTAAGGGTGGTGAGGCACTGGACTGGGCTGCTCAGGGAAGCTGTGAATGCTCCATCCCTGGTGGTGTTCAAGGCCAGGTTGGACAGAGTCTTGAGTGACATCGTTTAGTGTGAGGTGTCCCTGCTCCTGGCAGGGGGGTTGGAACTAGATGATCTTAAGGTCCTTTCCAACCCTAACTATTCTATGATTCTATGATTCTGTGAGTCCCTGTCATCCCATACCCACTCACACTGTAAAGTGTCAGACACATGAAGCACGCGTTCCTGCAGTGCACACCTGCAAACTTGACTGATCCTCCTGCAGCACAGGATGATCACCTGAGATAGTATCTCTACAAAAGGTCCAGAAGTGAGAACAGAACTAACCATGAAACCTTAGGTGCCACAATTCTCAATCACTTTTGAGAGAAAAGGGGCATTTTAAGGAAGTTTCTGAAGGAGAAGATCTGGAAGGACAGATTCCCAGACAGAACAATGTCACTTCTTCCTTGTATTCTCTGGCATCCATCTTTTGAGTAATCTAAAACAAGTACTTCAAAACACCCAGGAACTTGGCATGATTTTAAGTCCAGGTACAAATACTAAATACTCCTGGTTTCCAAAAGGTAGTTTTCACCAGCACCTTGAACGCTAATTAACTTTTTCCATTTACGTGCTTTTAGCTTTCAGACTCGGCACCTCGAACTATCAGATCAGACCAAGAATACAAATAGGCTAGGCATTTTGCCTTTAAGGTGAAATAACATCCTAAAGCCTGAACTTTATTACCAAGGACTTCTAAAATCTGCCCCATCATGCCCCCCCAGTTTCAGCACATCATCAAGTTTCATCTAAGCTGGAGCAACAGAAGCTCTGAGGACAACTTTGGGGATATCTTTTCTTTAAGATAGTTACAGGATGTCTAATGGGCAAATGTGTGATCCTATAATGTGTAATAGAGACATTTTACAAATCACAGCAAAGCTGAAAGCAGATGTGTAGATGGTATTACATTATAAACCTCCACCTGTGTTCCACATACACCAACCTCAGCTCCCTAATGCAAAGCTGTCACGTATACACTCGATAGATTAATAAGAAAATCTACTCTACACCCCTCAAAGACCCCCATTTTAAAAAAGTACTTATAAAATATGTTCTGTACAGCTGTTGTCTTACCATTTGCCTTGCACTGCACATCTGGCGGAAACTGGTCAGTAACATACCACTGATAGTCTGGCTGCACAGAACAATAAAACATTATTACAGCAATATGGACTTCATAGACACTTCAAACAAAATAATAGTGACATGATAAAAATATAATTGTGCTGTGAAGTTTTTTTTGTTAGTCATACAAAAATAGCTTACAAAAAAAAAAGAATCTTATATTTAGCTTTATATTTCCACTGTTCTGAGTCTTTCAGCTTGCTTGGTTTTTTTATGACATGTGGCTTAGATGCTGCACTCATTTTAAATATTGGTGTAAACCTTTCTAGATCCCACAAATCAAAAGAAATGTTAACAGAACCAAATCAGATTTTAAAAGGGCTAAAGAATAAAGTGCACCAGAAGATACTAGTAGGCATCACATTATCTGTACTAAAGAACCCCTGGAGAAACCTGGTACACATCGACCTGACAGGTGAAGCTGTTCTAGTCTGAGTATGTGTAACATCTGTAACATGTTTCAGTGTGACAGGAATAACCCATTTAGTAAAGTTCACTCTCCTTCTCCCTTCCCCACAGGTTAGCATTAGTCTTACTGTAACATTGGCTGTTATCAAATAACTTCTTGAAAATACTGTGGGGTGGGAAAAATTCCTGCCTTATAAAAGGAAATATTGGGAAGGTTATATCCAGGCAAACATAGTTTTGTCTAGGGAAATCTTGGAAAAAAGAATTACTGCATTTTAGTTCATACCGCACACTGTGGTAAATGAATAGCAAATTACTAGCGAAAACAATTTTGGGACCAGACATTTCAGTTGCATTAAGCTGTCTATCTAGTTTAAGTAGTATATGCAAGCTTCTCAAATTTCACATAATTACTGCTTGAAATTAGTTAAACTGGGAAAACAAGCCCTGTTTTGCAGAAATTGCCCTGATAAAATCCTGAGTGATAACAAGGAGACTCTTACAGATTTCAACATATAGGGAGGAAATCTCATAGACCTTTAAAGAAGTTTTGCCTAAATTAAGACGGCAGGATGAAGCTCTACATACAGAAAACAGGTTTACCTTTTCCGTATACTGTCAACTCGTAGTTACACAGCAGTAATTGCTCTCATACTTTTCCTCTGTCAGGAAAAAAGGAGCTATCCTATTTTCACTTAAATTATACTGTCCATGGTATAATTTATTAATTATAACTATAATTCATTATTAACTAATTCTGTGCTTGTTGACAACCAAAATAGGCTGTCATACAAAGCAAGATTGTTTTTCTTTAAGCACAGATAGTTTTTCCACTAATTGCTCAAAATACACTTACTTGCGTTGCTTTTTTTTTGAGTTTCTGTTGAATTTTCTGTTCTCTGATCTATTCATCTCCTTCATAACTATTTACCCTACGCAAATTTGAATGAGTTTCAGAAACAAGAGGTGTTTCAAGCCAGATTGAACAAAACACTTCCACTAACAATATAAAAATAATCAAAAGGTGCAAGATATGAAAAGAAAGAAAAAGCAAAAGCACAGACTAAACACACAGGATTACATACGTTAACTCAGGACACATTAAATTCTAACACCTTTCTTCATTGCTAACAAATTGCTCAGGGAGGTATCAAGAGCCCAGAGCAGAAAAGCTGCAGTCACACAGACAAAGAACCTCAAAGAAAACCCGGAATGAACTGGGCGTTACAAAGCAGCCAAACTGACCCCAGCACTCCAGCAGGAATGGCAAAGTTGTAAACCCAGCAATCCCTCGAAGAATTAGAAATCCAGATGATAAAAATTGAGGGAGAAGAACCAAAATAATTTGGGACAGTGTCCAAATTGCAGTGAAAAATATTCTGCAATACTTCCAACTCTGATAAATAGGGCAATAAGCGCACTCCTGAAGCATAGCTATGACTTGTTTGACCACAGCTTTTCCACTGGCTTTCTCCAGTCTGAAAGCCTTATGTATGTGTTGCAAAAATTCAGCTATAATTTCTGATGTGACAGCTTTATTGCCAGAACCAGATCCTGTGTATTTAAAATGACATTCACCATGTTTAAATGCCTTCTCACTACATTTGAACAAATGCAGTCCACTTAGATAACTCAAAGCACCTAAAAAGTATCATCCTTTGAAGCAGGATTTTCCCTGAAATATATAAATCCCCTTTACATAAGCTGTCCTAGTGCAAACCCATTCTTCCATGGGATATAGCCTTAGAGGGCAGGGGGGCCCAAGACTTTTGGTTGACATTCAAGGATCACCTGCTCTAAGCTCAGGAGTGTTGCATGCCCACTAGAAGGAAGTGCAGCAGGAGGGCCAGGAGACCTCCTTGGATGGATAAGAAGCTCCTGAGGAAAATTCAAATGAAAAAAGAGGCTTATAAAAAGTGGAAGCAAGGACAGGCAGCCTGGAAAGAGTATAGGGATGTTGTTTGGGAAGCTAGGGACCAGGTTAGGAAAGCTAAAGCCCAGATAGAATTAAACTTGGCTAGGGATATTAAGGATAACAGGAAGAGATTCTTCAGGTACATAGCAAATAAAAAACAGAGTAGGGAGAGCGTAGGCCCCCTCAGGAAGCTCTTGGGAGAACTGGGTACACAGGATTTGGAGAAGGCTGAGGTTCTGTATGACTTCTTTACCTCAGTCTTCACTGGCAAAGGCTCCGACCACACCACCCAAGTCTTGGAAGGCAGACAAAGGGACTGTGAGAATGAAGACCTTGTGCCCACTGTAGGAGAGGATCTGGTTTGAGACCATCTTAAAAATCTGAAAGTGCACAAGTCCATGGGTCCTGATGAAATCCATCTGCGGGTTCTGAAGGAGCTGGAGGATGAAGTTGCTAAGCCACTGGCCATCATGGCAGTCAGGTGAAGATCCCCAACGACTAGAGAAAGGAAATATAACCCCCATTTTCAAGAAGGGAAAAATGGATGACCCAGGGGATTACAGACCAGTCAGTCTCACCTCTGTGCCTGGCAAAATCTTGGAGCAGGTTCAGCAGGTTCTCCTGAAAGGCATGCTAAGGCACATGAAAATCAACAACATGCTTGGTGACAGCCAGCATGGCTTCACTAAGGGGAAATCCTGCCTGATGAATTTGGTGGCCTTCTGTGATGGGGTTACAGAACTGATGGACAGGGGTAGAGCAGTTGATGTCACCTACCTGGACTTGTGCAAAGCATTTGACATTGTCCCACGTGACATCCTTGTCTCTAAATTGGAGAGACATCAATTTGATGGATGGACCACTAGGTGGATAAAGAACTGGCTGGATGACTGAACACAAAGAGTTGTCGTCACTGGCTCAATGTCCAGCTGGAGACCAGTAACAAGTGGTGTCCCTCAGAGATCGGTGTTGGGACCGGTCTTGTTTAACGTCTTCGTCACTGACATGAACAGTGGGATTGAGTGTGCCCTCAGCAAGTTTGCCGATGATACCAAGCTGTGTGGTTCGGTTGATATGCTGGAGGGAAAGAATGCCATCCAGAGGGACCTGGACACACTTGTGAGGTGGGCTGATGCCAACCTTATGAAGTTTAACCAAGACAAGTGCAAGGTCCTACACCTGTGTCAGAGCAATCCCAGGCACAGCTACAGGTTGGGCAGAGAAGAGATTCACAGCACCCCTGCAGAGAAGGACTTGGGGGTGCTGGTCAATGAGAAACTGAATGTGAGCTGGCAGTGTGCACTCACAGCCTAGAAAGCCAACCATATCCCGGGCTGCATCAAAAGGAGCATGACCAGCAGGTCAAGAGAGGTGATCCTGCCTCTTTACTCTGCTCTTGTGAGACCTCACTTGGAGTATTGTGTGCAGTTCTGGTGTCCTCAACATAAAAAGCACATGGAGCTGTTGGAACAAGTCCAGAGAAGGGCCACGAGGATGATCAGGGAACTGAAGCACCTCCCGTATGAAGACAGGCTGAGGAAGTTGGGGCTGTTCAGCCTGGAGAAGAGAAGGCTGCATGGAGACCTCATAGCAGCCTTCCAGTATCTGAAGGGGGCCTATAAGGATGCTGGGGAGGGACTCTTCTTTAGAGACTGTAGTGATAGGACAAGGGGTAACAGGTTAAAACTTAAACAGGGGAGGTTTAGATTGGATATAAGGAGGAAATTCTTTCCTGTTAGGGTGGTGAGGCACTGGAATAGGTTGCTCAGGGAGGTTGTGAATGCTCCATCCCTGGCAGTGTTCAAGACCAGGTTGGACGAGGCCTTGGGTGATATGATATAGCGTGAGGTGTCCATGCCCATGGCAGGGGGGTTGGAACTAGATGATCTTAAGGTCCTTTCCAACCTGTTCTATGATTCTATGATTCTAGGTCTCTTGGATCCCCCATCTATCTACATGCTTCTCTCCTCAGTATTTCTTCATTTCTTCTCTCCCAATTTCCCCCCTTGCTATCCCACCTCCCTCCCGCTCCCCAGGTTTATGACTTGCTGAAGCTGCAAGGGAAACACTTTGTCACAGTTTTGCTATATATGCTGTTGCCCTAAGAAAGAGGAGGACACCTCCCAAAGAATGAATGCCTTCACCTCTTCTGTTGTAGTCAGGGATAGGCTGATAACAACCAAGGTCTAGCGATGCTCTGTCACATCACTATTTGTCCCAAGAGTCCCTCCTCTGTACAGTTAGAGCATCCTGCTTCATCTTCTGTAGGAGGAAGTCTGCAGTCACTACAATGATTTATACAACTAGAAAAATACATTCATAAAATGGATACCCCTTGAGAATTCTGAAAAAAAAAAATTATTTACTCTATTTTTATTGTGTAGAATGAAATCATTCATTACTGTACAATCAAGTGCAGGATTTTATCCTCCAGCATGTGGCAAGCATTACATTAGAGAGCAAAATCTGGCTCTGCTGTCAAACGTGACAGAAACAAGTATTTTATTCCCATTGAATAAAATTCCCCATTCTCATCACATCCATTTGTGTGTCAATAATGTTAACCCTAACACTGTCCAGGATGACAGACCTAAAATGTAAAATTATCTGAAAAATCTCATGTTTTTAAACAGATTCTTTCATATGGAAACAAAAAGAGTGCACTAAGGACTTGAATTGCTCCAAAGAAAGATTAAAAAAAGTACTCTTCTCTATAGTATGCAGGCTACAGATGCAAATGCTTTGCCTTACACTTTGAAAAACTGCAATGCAAACACTCTAGTTTTACAAGACCAGGATTCTTAGATAATTCACTAAACTTCTGAAAAAAAAAAAGGAACACAATCAGTAACCAATGAAGTTTAGCATTCCCTCTAGATGAAATTCAGCCCCTAACAAAGAGCTGGCAGGAGGTCTCTGAGATTCAGAAGAATCATTCTGCTGCTTTGAATCCTGCAAAAGTCCTTGTTCCGTCTTTTGCAAGGACTTAGTTGCACTTTGTAGACATGTTGTGGCAACAGCATCTTAGACAACACTATGGCTGAACTGGTTCTTCCTTTCAAAAGCTCTACCTAGTGAGTCCACCCGGCACAGTTCTTGGGAGAAAAGGCAAAAATATGCTGTCTGAAATCTGTCTAGGCTTACTTCCAGCCACCCTTACCTGGTGTCTGAGAACTTCAAGTTGGGTTCTCATGTCCTCAAGGCTGTTTCTGCCACCCATCTCAGAAGGAGTCCCAAGTACAGGTGTGTCCTGCTTTTTCAACACACCCAGAATGGGCTGAAACGTCAAACAGCAAAATTACTAATCAGACATTCACTACTATATTAAAAAAAAAACAACAAAAAACAAACCCACCAAAACCATTCCTTTTAAATTATTAGAATGCTCTCTAAATAAACACATTAGAGTGAGTCACAAACTTCTGGGTTTTTTTCCTTCACTTACAGTTGCTTCAACTATATACATTGAATATAAACAACACAAAATATTTGCATGACTAAGTCCAAATTTCAAAGCACATGGATTACATCTGTGAATTTGAGACAGTTTAAGGGACTGTTCTTTTACTTTTTAACTGTAACCATCATTTACCTATGGAAATCATAGCTGCAAATCTCACTCATAAAGACCATCTTCCTGTACAAGTCAGAATTTGGGAAAACAAAGGCAGGTTTCTAAATTCAGCTGAGGCCAAAAAACAAGCAAACAAAAACCCCAAGAAGATTAAAGCAACATTTAAAGATGCCCTGAAATGTAACTACAGTGAAGTCTGACTGAAACATTTTTTTCAGTAAGAGTATAAATTTCTTCAACTGGAACAAAAGGAAACCCAGACTGAGACAAAGTTATGTAGTCTCTACAGCTTGTCACTAGATGGTGTTATGAATACACACATTACATTGGTAATGCACTATTTTTCACTCAAATTCTGCCATTGTTCATTGCAGATCTCTTTTAATTTCAGCATTATTACATAGAACTCCCTTGGTCTGGAATTGTTTGTAAATTGCTCTTACCCCTCTCTGCCTATAACCACACACTATACACACATACATAATTTTTTTACTCTAGGACAAATACTCACCATTCAGTACTGTTCAATGTCTCTTGCACAAAATGTGGACTCAGCTAACTTCATACATCTTTGAAAGTTCAATTCCTGCTAATGATCCCCAGCTCTCTCTTGTTAGCCACATTGCATTCATGCCATAAGGGAAGGAGGGAAGATAATCTGGAGTGGGAAGAGGCAGTGGGGACAGTGGCCAAGCAGGAGAACCAGTATTCAAAGTAAACCAAGGATTAGTATTATCCTAAGGCCAACAAAAAAATAATGTATTAAAAAAAACCAACCCCAAAACATTAACATTTCCCATGGAGAGCACAGAAAAGGGAGGCCTTTTCTGAGCTACTGTCCCTATGAATTGTGCAAAAGAGAAATTGGTCTAGTAGTGGCCAAGTTTGTATGCCATGTCAATATATGTCTTGAACATAAACATGGGAGGATGAAGATACAGAAAGCTTAATGATTAATTCTCATTTTGCCCTATTGTTCAATATGTTGTCACTATATTGACTATATTTCTTGCAGCTCATTTTGTAGAGTCATACCATCATATAGATGTATTAGGTATTTGGGAAATTCTTCAGGATTTATTAGTTTCTTTTTTTTTTCTTTTTTTTTTTTTTGGTGGGGGGGATTCTACATCTTAGAATTATGGGAAGAAAAAAAAAACACAACAAAAAACTCACAGAAAAATCCAGAATATTTAAACTTCTAAAAGTTAACAGTAGCAAAAAATAAGGTGTGGAGTTTTTTAAACCTACATTTGGAAGCATTATTGCAAGACCCTATTTTATCATTTCAAATAAAATACAAAACTGGAGCATGAATAAAGCTGAACTGGTCCCTAAGTTCATAATAAACCCAGAGCAAAATCTTTAATGACAGGTTGTAAGAAGATTGAGAAATGCTCTGTGTGTGTACGTAAACTTTTGTAATGCTATTAGGTCACTAGCAAATTATTGATGATTATGTCATCGGAGATTTGGTTTCCCATGTATAAAATGGAGACTAAACACTACTAAAGATAATATTCAAAGATGTAATTGGAATATGTTTCTTTCAAAATTCCCATCACTTTGAACTGACAAAAGGTGGGGCTGGTTTAGAATAATTTATGGAAGAAATAAAGATATTATTGTTCCACTGGTTTAAAAAAAACCAAACAACAATGCTGAATAAAATTATGATGAGATACTTGAAATGAAAAGTAAATAAGCTATTTTAAATATTTAACTAAGACTTGAAATTTCAAATTAAGAAATCTAAAGAATGACAATGAACTTCTAAGCACCTTCTAGAACTGGTCCTCTATGCAATTTTTTTCAGATCATTTGGCTATACCTACTTCACTAAAAGTCAAAGTATAAAAAAGCCCAACCAAACCAACCACTTCCCTAGACCCTAGAAAATCATACATCAAAGAAGCTGAAAAGAATTGTGTAGAAAAATGCCTGAGGGACAGCTGGATGAATAATTTCAAGAAATAGAAATAAAATGTCTTTAGGGACTGGAAAAAAGATTGAATCCCAATAAAAGCTACCATTTTTGGTACCTTTCAGATGAAAGTGGTAAGAGAGACAGTCACACTGAACTGTGTGTTGCAAAAGAAATTAAACTATAAAATGGTGATTTTTTTCTCACTATAAAAATGAGCTCAAGAATGAAGGCGTTACACAGGAAAGCAAGACTAGAAACAGTATTTCTAATGAGAAGGATAAAAGCAGAGCAGTGTGACAGTGGCTAATAATAAGGAAGATGTACCAGTGAGAAAGAACTCACAGCACGTTGAGTTAAATTGAGCTTAACTTAATGTGGTGTTAAATAATATTCATTCAGAAGTACTGAGAACTGAAACCTGAAATTGCAAGGCAAGCAGCACAGAGGTTTTCTGATTTTTTCAATATCAGAAATGGAACTGTATGAATGAAAAGTAACTACCTTGGTTTCCAAAGATACAAGAAGGGTAAGTGTTCCGTGCACCTAGAAAGCTCTTAATACTCTGGATGACCGGATTAAAGTTTCGTGAAGCCAAAGATAGAAAGGTCAAAGTACTTGAAGTACAAACGTTCACATACATAGAAACAAGTAGCAGTGTCTTCCATAAACTGAGAGATAAGCAGTTCAAAATGACTGAGGTGAATGACATTCATATTATCAGGCACAGTTGTATTTTAAAAGAACAAAAGAGCTGGGTCAGCTTATCTAAACCGTCCTCTAGTGAAAATTCAATTGCTCTCTGTAGCTATAGGGAAAGAGCAAGTGCCCCTGAGACCAATCGTATTTTTACTAGGGGACAGTTCTGTTTCACAGAAAGGACACATCTGCTTTGCACAAGGAATGAAGGAGATCTGTGTGACACTACTACCACCAGAAAAACAAATGAATATCACCTAGGAAGAAAAATATCAGCCCAACTGAAACAGAAGAAAGCAAATGAAAGAAGGGTTACAGTTCCAAAACAGCCTTCCAATACAAGCACAGTAGAAAGAGCTTAAGTATTTTTAAGGAAAAAGTTGATTGATTTCAGAGAATTTATAAGAATTTATATTCACTGAACCTGTGATAGCAGGGAACTAGACTTAAAAGGGTACAGAGGGTCCCTTCCAGTCATATTTACACCCATGACATGAGATTTGAAGGATGCAAATAAGCAGAAAATCAGTAAATTACTCGTGGGAATGTGTGTTACATGAAATTGCTGTTCCATTTCAAAGAATGGTCTATTTACCCATCTGTCTTAGATCCAACCATAAGACCGCAAAATAAAACACTGAAATAAGTTGTTTTACAAACAAGACCTCAAATGAAAGTTATACTGAGGCTTTGAGCAAGTCCTGTCAGCTCATTTCCAAAAGACCTAGAGGTCATATGTTCTGTCAGATTTTTTAATATGGTAACATGACATTTTTGCCTCGACTTTTGTACACCCTCATGTACCACAAAGTTACATAGCAATGGTTACTGCAGTGCATTTCCTCAGGAAGTGTATGTGGTTCACCACGAAATATAAATTATTAGAAAACACCCACTGCTCTATGTGATCTTTTGATTTAACAAAGTTACATTTATTACTTTCCTTCAGTTAAAAAAAATAACAATCCCATTTAGATATTTTATGGCAATTTCCTTAATGAGATATATACGCATAATACTTCTGTGTATGTATATAAAAAAGAAGACAGGAGCATGTCTTATGAAGAGAAGCCATTATTCTTAAAAATGGAATATATGTAAACCAATAGATTTTAAACAGTCTGAAATCATTTTTTAATCACAGTGTTTCACTGGATGCATATGAAAGCATCTTTGCGCCATTTCCCTTTTGTTCTAAGGAGGTAGAACATAGAAAGAGCTTAGATATGACACGTAGAGAGGTTTCACAGGAGAAGCCAAGGATTTTTTTAACTTTCTTCTTTACAATACAACCCTACTACTTGCCAAGAACAGCATGCACAGGTATTAGCCAAAGTAAGTTCTTGTTTCCCCGGATCCCAAACAGTGATCATGAGTTCACTACCATGAACAGGTTGTTAACTCGTGATTGAAAAGATGGGCATCTGGTAGTGTCACTGGTTGACAACTGGGACCCTATATTAAAGGTAAAGTTCCTGGTCAGCAGCTCACCCATATTCATACCTTATTGAGACGACTTACTTCACACTCATAGGGTTCTTTCTTTCTCATTATTGAGGCATTCTTCTGCTTCAGGAGCCTGTTCTCTTCCTTCATTTCATGGAGAGCTTCACTAAGGACTTTTGTTTCTTTCTGGAATGCAAAAATACAGAGAGATGCTGCTGAAATGCAGATGGAACCGTTTCTCAAGAGCGATTTTCAGAATATCTGCTGTATGGCAGATATGCTGCATTTTTGTTGTCCCAAACACAGCAGGGAAGGAAGTCAAAGGAATAAGGATCATTAGTAAAGACCATATATGGTAAAGTTTGTTATAATTGTTTTGACCACTCACCTTATGATAAGACAGAGGTAACATACTAGACTAAATCCCTGCTCTCTACAGCCTGCAGTTACACAAAGGCATAAGGAAGCTGGCAGACCAACCAGATCAGTAACAGTTTGCGATGATTATCCCAGACCTGTATTATTCAGATTTACTTACAGTGTTAAGGCCAGGCCTAAGCACTGGTAAAGTCCCACCAGTTCCCACTGTTATACAACACTGAAGATGAAACCAGACCTTAGTATCACATAGTCTGAGGATTTTTCACACTACACAAGAGACTGAGGCAGGTCTCAGTTCACTCAAGGATTACCAAGTTACCAAGGAAGACTTCAAAGTCCACTTTATTTGACCCCATCACAGTTGTTGACCCTTACTAGTGTTTGTGCCTACACTGTTGCCACCCCAGCAAAGTACAGGTGCAGCAGGACTTACACACTAGTCTTTCAAGATGGTATTATAGAAATTTATAGGAGTTATTAGGACAGATCTGGAAGACTTTCGTTCTCTTCTGTCACTTTTAGCATGGCTATTTTCATTTTACATTGAAGGGAGCTAAGATCTGAATCAGACCCTGAAGCAAACAGCATTGTATAAACTCTCACAGGGTAATGCATTCCTCACTAGCCCACTTTAGGCAGACTGCCTTAGACAAAAGCTATTCAGACATACGAAACAGAATGGCCTTTTCTACAAAACAAGAAAGTATCTGAAGTACTCTTCTGCAGCAGCTTTATATGATGGAAAAGAAAAAAAAGCAAACAAAAAGAGATCCAACAATCACATGCACAGGACACCACAGGAATGCTTCTTTTTCTATGTAACAGGCATACCTCTGTGCAGTCAGCTACTAGGCATTTGCAGGTTGAGCTCATGAGAAGTTCATGACCATGTGCTAATTTAGTCAGTGAAAAACACACTGCTGCTCGCACATGAGGTACCTTTGGTTTCCTTTGGTCTAAGTTACTTGGAACACTTCATTTTCTCCAAAAACTGGGCAAGATATCTCTACTTTAAGAACTCCCCCAAGAGGTAGCTCAAACTGGCATTTGCATGCGCGTTTCAAGATAATAAAGAAAAGCAAAACACTAAAACCCATACAGGCTTTTAGATATGTTCTTCTCTTCAATTTTGCCTTGCTCTTTTCCTAGCTCCTAGCACATATTTTCCTTCTCAGAGGCTGACACTTCCAGGTGTATGGCCTATTTTATAACTGAAGATTTCCAGTTTGTTCAGGTTTTTGCACCATCTGAATTCTTACATCCTATTGCTTCTTAGCTGACACTGAATCTTAGGTGTTACGGCACTTAGACTTTCCAGTGATAAGGTTGGTCTGATTCCTCTCTATGGGTAGTATTTCATGCTCGGGGGGGGGGGGGGAATAAATTAAACCTCCAGAAAAGTCAGTTTTCCTCTGTGGGCCACGAAGGACATGGGGACAGACAAAATTCACATTATCATTCTAAGAGACATACCTCTGGGTGCATTAAGAAAACCAAGATAGCTCTGTAAGACAGCTTCATGTAATCTGTCTCAGGGTTGTTTGGTGCTGCTGTTTTTCCTAAATGGCTCAGCAGAGCATCCAGAGAGCTGCCACTGAGTAAACAGATCTAAAAGGTACTGTCAGGCTGCTCAACTAGATAAGCAAGTAGAGAACAAACATTACTTTGCTCTGGCAATTGCCCTGTACAGCCCATTCCAGCTCTGTGGCTACAGCTCTTTGAAAAAGAAAGGGTTATTACCTCTCAAGAAAATAATAATAATAAAAAAAAAATATATATATACACATATATATGTAAAAAATCAAATGCGGGTATGAAGAATGTTAGTTGCTGCTCATTCAACAATCTCTACTTTTAGCACCTACCTTTGAAAAGGTGTATATCTCCTGCCCGACAATCAAAAAGTAAAGAAATTCAGAACAAATAGAAGCAATTACTTGATGAGTATATAATTTATTTAAGAAATTGTTAATCTATGGCTGAAGTTCCATGCAAGTAAATCTGTCCCTGTAAGAGATTTTTGGATTATATTGTCATTTAGTTCATTATGTGGTAAAAAACTTGGGGAAGTACTGCTCCTCCTTTTCATAAAAGCAGTAAAAAACTTAGTAATAAGAACAGGAAGATGTTATCTCTCACTGAATCCACACTCTGAAAAAATACAGACAGTGATTCAGTAAGTGCAAAACAGCATAGTTTGCTTTAAAATATGTAAACAGTCCAACTGGTTGGAAATCAAGTGCTTAGCTAAGACCATACCATAAGTGATAAGCAAGTAAGATGAATGTCCTGCTTATGAAGATAAAAGCTAAGGGCTTTGCATTTGCTTTCCTATATTAGCTAACTTGCATCTTATCTGAGTTTGGAAGCAACATGATTGCCACTTCTTTTCGGGTTTGTTTCATATTATCAAGTGAATAAAGAAGCATGACTTCAGCTGTCAGAGTACCATACAGAAGCCTTTACAAAAGGTTATACGTGTGTGATACCACGAAGGAGAATGAGATTAAGAAACACCACTCTTTGGTGCTTGTAAAACAGTGCATAACATTTTGCATATATGTTGGGCACATATATACCAATCACTCAGGTTGGTGGTTTACTGTGGTGGGAAATTCAGCTTAGGGATCTAATTTATACATGAATTCTTACCGAAAAGCCAATGCCAAAGGAGTCCTGAGAGAGTTCCCCAACCACTCAGGGTGAGGTGAATGCCGTTCTAGAGCAGCAGATCAGCCAAGGCACTTTTAGCTCTAATAACAGCATTAACTACCTCAGTAATATTTACAGGAAGCTGAGATAACTAGCACATGTATAAAAATGTACATTGTAATACCAAAATGTGGTTGTCTGGAGCTGAATTCATTCCTTCAAATATTTATTCCCAAGCACTTGCTGTAACATCTGTAATGATGCTCCTATTCCGTTTGAAATCACTGTAGTGTTTTCATTCACAAAGATATTCACCCCAAACTGAGCAGCTAGGAAGGAAGTCTCTGGAGTATTCATAAAAATGTGCTCTTTATTCCTCCTCCCCCCACCCTGCCCACAGCTGTCCTCTCCGCCAGTTTCTATGTAAATGACTCTATACATAGTTCGTTGATCAGACAGAAGATCAGCCACCGCCTTGGGTACAGTACTGAAGAACACACAATACCACAATCTCATCATTACAGCTGTGCGACAACCCACGTCTTGTCACTCAAAAGAAAGAGGAAAGTCAAGACAGATTTCAACACTCTGCACAAACGGGGTGACAGGCTGTACCCTCCTACCATTTCCTGCAGTGACTGCTCTCTGCCCAGGGCTTGCAATCTCTCATCTTCTGGATGTTGTTGGTGCCTCTTTTCCTCCAGTTCAGTAACTTTCTTCTCTGACACATCCAGTCTTGATTTCATTTCAACTAGCTGAAAAGCAAGTGACAGACTATGGCAAGCCAACAAAGGATCCCGAAAGGTACAGCACCTTGAAGTTGCCTTCAAATGCTTTCAGCTCTCAGCAGATGAGCATAAAGGAGTGGATCTGGTTGCATGTAAAGTCTCCCACCACTGACTTACCTCTTCCCACCTCCAAGCTTCACTGCTGTGACTGCAGCGGAAACTCTTAATGATCCTGGGCAAACTCTCTATTAGTGTTAACTCAGTTGGGTCTCTCACTGTTTGGTTGCCAAAGGACAGTTACCATGGGTCTGTCCCTCTGAATGAATTTTCCATTTTGATGTTTCTATTTTCCCTTTTGCAGTTTGGATTTCCTCTGCAGTGGTGCACATCCAAATGATCTAGCCAGAGGCATACACAGTCCTGTACTAAAGAAGGAAGAGCCATTTAAATTCCTCTTCTTTTTGGGAAAAAAAAAAAAAAATCCAATAAATGATCCAGATCTCCTTAAAGCTTGCTGGAAATTATTAAGAGAGAAAATTTTCCTGATAAGCACATGAGGTCATTCTGCAAACTTCCTTTTCATAGAAAGAAACAGGAGATGGGAAGAGTCAGTCAATGATTTGGTATTCCAAAAAGTTGATTTTTGGAATACTGGGCAAAATTGTAAGTGGCCAGGTTCACCACGCACCTGCAAAAAAAAGTGAAGATAGATACCACACAACCAAGAAGTAAAAAAAAAAAAAATAGTCTCTCTGCCTATAGGAGGCAGCATTCATGAAAGATTTATCTGAGCGCTCCCTCATTACAGGGAGCCCCAGTGAACTTCCAGGCTTCAGAATCCAACTACAAGTGATGGGACAAGAACCAACAGATCTGTGGTGATGTGGATCAATGATTAAAAAAATCATGGAAGTCATGAAGATTTCTGCTTTCATGTCCTCCCTAGTCCTGACTATTTTAGGGAAGCCCTAATTTTCTGGCTGCTTTGTCCTACTGAAGATTGTGCACATTAGCTTCACTTTTATGTGATGAAGCCTTTTTAATTTGTGAGCTAAAAGACAAAATATATATGATACCTTCCGCCCTAAGATATTTACTATAGCTATGGCTGGTTGATATTTAAGCACAGAATTAACTATCTCCAGCTGGCATACATAACAGCTTTATGTACACTTGGTGCAAAATGGCCCAGATACGGGGCATAGAAGTTGTTAGGTCACTAAAATGAATCACTTTCTAGCCTTTGCATAACAACAGATTAGAGTGACCAGGTAGATACCTTTTGGGGGTAGAAGGGAACTGCTAGGGAAGGTTTTCTTCCTGAGAATGCTATATACAAAAATATTTCTAACATTTCCTTCTACTATTAAACAACATAAAGCATTCAGACAAATCGACTGGAACAAAACCTGGGCCCATAATTGTCAGTTTAGAAAGCGACATGTATGATATCTGTTCAAGCTGTTCCTATTAATCAGGTGGCATTTCAGAGAACAATCAAAACAGTCACTTACTTCTAGTGGGTTTGCTGGGACTTCCATGTCACTCACACCTGCCCATCCGCATCCAAGACGGCCTTGAGCATTTGCTTCACTATGGATCTTTGGAAGAAAAGCAATGAAACAGATATTTTATGTTGGCTAAATGAGCAGGAAAATTGCATTAAGACCCTGGAGATCCACGAGTGCTGCCTGTGGAAGCAGCCGAGGTTCAGAAATAAGTGGGGGAATTTTGATTTTAACATTTTCCTCCTTCCAGGCTGGGGCTTCCCAGAAGGGTTGAACCATGACAACTGCCTATGACTAATATGCCAGGCAAGGCAGTACTCTGCTTACTGTGCATGTAAACCACAATCGACTGACCAGTTCACCCTGAAAGGAGAGAGGAAGTCGCATGTATAAGGGAAGGAAGGGTATGTTTTTTCTGTAAATATGTAAATAAGAAGACAGGGTTTTCTTCCTCTGTTTCCAGCTGTAAAAAAAAAAAAAAAAAAAAAAAAAAAAAGCTGGAAAACCATAATTAGAAAATCTATTTACTTTCCCTGAAGAAAAGCTGCACAAAGATGAAGAATGACAGGCAGAATTATTCTTCTCCTAAAGACATCGTGTTTACTGTTCTAGTACTTATCTTATCTAAGCATGGCTCTAGCTTCAAGCTCTTCAAGTCTTTGCTTGAGTACTCAAGGTACCCAACACTTCAAACTTGAGTCTTACTTTCCCATTTGGGAAAAGAGGTTAACCTTAAGCTAATAGGAAAGATTAACAAAGAAGATATGTCCATAGACCGCACTTACAAAGAACAAAATAGAAAAGTGCCAACTACTGTCATCTTCACTCTTGGAATTGTGCATAATGACAGATTTGAGAAGGAAGTGTGGAAAAAAAAAAAATCCTTATTGTGGAAAGATCCCTGGGTCGGAAGCTTTTTTCAGTGGGGGCAGAGGTTGCTTATTTCCTTCACAAGGAATGGAAGCTAGCCTTTGAAATTTGAAATAAAATAATATAAATTGGTGGGAGTTCTTTTAATTTCCCCAAAAAAAAGGATTTAGATAAAGTAAAGTAATCCTGTGAAATGCTGGGATTCAACAGCAGCATTCCAGTTCATAATGTGTGACGAAGCAGCTCCTCATTTGCAAGATTCAGACCCCCCTCTGGAAGAAAACTATTACTTTACAGTATATGCATATGAAATATATCCTCCCTCGCCTGATGGGGTTTTTTAGTTTTTTCCTGGTTTATGGAGCAGCTGAAAAACTCGCAGTGTATAAAAAGAGAAATTAAAAAACAAATGATACATTATGGTCTGGCCTGCGAAGGTAAACCAGCCCTAGTTTCTGATTTCCTCTTAACAGCATATTGTGATAAGCTGAGTGAGGTGCTGAGCTATCCCCAAGGCAGGCACACAAGGGCAAAGCCAGGGCACAGCCCTACCTGCGAATCACAGCTCCCACTTAAAAGACAGTAGTGCTCAAATTACTTTAAAGACAGCATGAGGCTAAGACCCTGGAGTGAAAACAGTTACTGTTATTTAGTTCAAAATGGTCTCTCGGAAAGTTGAGTGGTTTCCTGGAAAGCTAGGTGGGCATTTAGATACCAACTCCTTTGTTACTGGTATCTTAATGACTGTAATAACAACTATTGAAAGTGAATGACTCTCTCTTATACTGGAGGATTTGAAGGTGCCGCTTATAGCGATTTTGACAAGTTGCAGCACTGCTCCTTTCTGTTCACCCCATGATGCTGTGGGAGAGCTGGGGAGACCTGGGGTAAGACGTGAATCTATTGGAAGAGAAGAGGCTGGAACAGCAAAAGCACCTTCACATTTCCCCCATTCCATGGCAAAATGACCTGCACATTTGTCCATTTTCACTCTTTGTGAGCCTACCACAGTGACTGAGCAGCAACAGACATCATCCTTTACCACGACAGAGAAATGAATGAGAGTTTTGAGTTGTGTTGCTGTTTGCAGAAATAGCTTGTTTGCGTGCAGTTCGGCACTACCAGTGAATGCAATTTATACTGGCCTCATTAGTTTGCATAACATTACCATCTTGTTTTGAAAGATGTATTTCTCTCTGCTAACAATCAATAAGCTCTGAGCCAGGCATACCTCTGTGGAAGCTATTTGCTTTGTTACTGTCCTCTTACTCTATGTTTACACATTAAAAATTCTAAACTTTCTTGCACCATCTTAACTGTTACTCTTCACTACAAATGTTTTTTTACAAAATATGATAGAATACAACCAACATGAGGTACTTTTCTTTGTCTACCTAGGCAAGCTCAACATTCATATGGATAACACCAATGGCCCTTTGCACAGTGCCTGAAGTCAAATGCCTTTTAAGAGACTTCGTAGGAAATACCATCTCCAGGGCAACAATGTGCTGTTCAAGAACAGTACTGTTCAGTGGAAAAAATGTCAATGAGTAAGGAATAACAGAGAACACTCTTTTGCCATAGACAACTGATAATCAGATTTTACTGTGGTGAAATCATACCTGTTACCATGCAAAGTCAAGATTTGCTAAATGTGATGTATAGGCTATCACAAGCTGGTCAGCAAGTTTTGTAAATCACATGAACCTTAATTTCCCTGCTTATTTCATCTCTTCCTCTTTAAACGAACAAGTCAGTCTGTGTCATGGCATTTACTGTTTACACAGAAAAAATCATGAGAAACAGACTGCAGGGCAGTCTGTGAGTGGAGAAATACAAACTTTGCAACCTCTTACACTACAGCTGCCTCCAGCTTCTCCAGAAACACATATAAAACCACATTGTAGTCTGCCATGGACAGAGTCGTGTTACTTTCTATAGCCACCTTAAAATACACAGCTATACAGGCCTCTAGCTGGAGTCCATCATACATTTTAGAGCAAGCATAAGTAACTCACATTCTCCTTCACCTATTTTTAATCCTTTACTTCTGCTTCCACTCTCTCCAGATAGACACTTCCTTCACATGTTCCTTCTATCCATCCAAAACGAGGGAACAAAACCTTATGATTCCTGCTGCTGGGCTGTGACATGCAATTGTAGCATCAGCCACCACTGAATATAGAATTATAGAATATAAATGAACTTTTCTTTACATTTTAGCACAGTTTGAGTAAACATGGAAAACAAAGCAGAGAAATGGAGCAGAGATCTCCAGATGAGCAAGTGAAGTTCAGTAGTTTAAGAAACTGAAGTTAATACAACAAGAATGATCACTTTCTGCCTTTAGAGCTGGTCAGATCTGGCTCCTTCTAAAAAAGTGGTTCATAATTTCTCACCTATATTTATTACAAAAATGCTTCCTTAATGTCCAGTTGAGAGCTTCTGTTCCTTAGCTCCCACTGTTCTCTATTACAGTGACTGATCAATCATGATTAAATATATGAAGAAAATATTATAATGAGCAAACCTGCATCTGCAAGTTTGACTAATTGTCTGAAATCTTCTGTAATGTCTATGAATCGTAATATAAATCATTTTAATTTTCTTAATCAACATAAATTCTTAGTAAGACCTTTACCCAACTTTCTCCCACTCTTCACACTCCTCTTTTTCTCCCCATTCATACTCACATACTTGGCCTATGAAGCATTTATGATTGCTGCCAGTGCTGCAGGCAGTGGTGAAAGAAAAGAACAGACTGCCTTGTCTTACTTCAAAGAGTGGGGAGAAGGGGGAAGCATCCTCTTTTTGGCAATCAGTCTGAATACACTCAGGGAAGAAGGCTTCAGATACTTTGGAGTGCAGCTGCCTGGCAGGCAGCTGGATGCCAGAAGCTCCTGGGAAGAGACTGCTGTGAGGAGCAGGAATAAGCCAGTCCAGGAAAAAGCAATGGAAAAAGCTTCCCAGGAAGCAAATGGGACCAGGCAGGATTTGCTGCCCCTGAAGCTCCTCAGGTTAACTCACAAGGGGCACCATACAACCCTGCCTGCAAAGACAAAGGGGGCTGACCTGCTTAAAGGTAATCTTTATTCATTACTGTTCTACTTCAATGATATTCTTTAATTTCTAATAGTAGCTGCTTTGAGGTTGGGTTTTATTTCCTTGTTTAAAAATGAAAATTGTCTTAGTTTCTATCCTAGAAAGACCCAACCCTTCTGAGTATAAAAATCTTTTAGTCATTTTTTGGGAAGCTTGCAATAGAAGAAAAATCAAAGCCTTGAAGCTGTGGTCAACACTGAATCCTCTTGCAAGCATTCATACCACAAGAAGATAAAAGTTCTCATTTTCAGAGTGCTGGATCATTATTATGGGAAAAGCTCCTGTTGATGAGCAGATAGACTCCCCAACTCATTAAAGTTGTAAAGTAGGTATGGTTTTTATTCAGCTCTGAGGTGCATGGGGGATAACTCCTCTAAAATCATGCGCACCTCAGCATCATTTCCCCTTTACATTTATCCTCTAAAGTTATACATATGCATGAGGTTGCACAACACACCTATACATATTCATGTCCTATCCCCACTTCGTATTATAATGAGTTAAGAAGCCCTTTGGGCCTGCTCAGTGCCTCCTAGTGGTCATGGGTGAGGATCTCAACATGAAGTAATGAGTCTTCCTCGAGCCTGAACTTTTCACTTCTAGTTGTTGTGCATGCTCCCTGGAGTCTTGGTCATTGTCCAAGGCGCAGAGCCAATTTCAGCCAGCCTAGGCATCCAAAGGCCGGGAATCAAGTCACAGTCCCTACTTCTTCACAATAGTTATGTCCTTATATCTTGTCCTAGCATAATCATGAATGAGCAATGATATTGTTAAGCAAGCGGCTAGATCTACCCTCTTGTACATTGCAAGTACGATAAGCATGAGCAAGCAGGAGCATTGTTAAGTAAGCGGTTTGACCTATCCCCTTGTACACTGCAAGTAGGATAGGCATGAGCAAGCAGTAACATTGTTAAGCAAGTGGCTTAACCCTAACGCCCCTTTGCATCACTGTTACAGTACTACAAAAAAAGGCACTCACAAGAAAATGAAAGCCACTTACCACTTCTGAAAATTCCATCTGTTCAGCAACCGCAGTGAAACCAAGAAGCATTAAAAGGCTTAATTCAAGTAAAAGTGAATCTTTCCTTGATTATGACAAAATGGTATTTGTTGTTGTTGTT